GCAGCGGTGCTGTCGAGCTGCTGGCTTTTCTCCCAAGTGCCCCGTTTTTTTGCAGCGTGAACTTGAGGAAGGCTCTCCGAGATGGCACGTCCCGAGGTGGGTCGACGCGGATCTCGCAGCGCTTCACGTTGCCCTCCACAGGCCGGTTTTACCGATTTCTGCGTCCGAGAGCGAGTGGGTGAATACTGGTGCCTGGCTGAGCTGGTGCGGTCACTGCCGGAGCCGCTCCCCGTTGTCCTCTTACCCCAGCGCTGTGGGGTGATGCAGCTGAGGAGCTCCTTCAGCCCCGCCTGCTCCGTCAGCTGGGCGCTGTACGAGTCCCCTGCGCCGAGTTTCGTGTAACAGAGGGGGACACTTTTTCAAGAAATTAAAATCTTTTAACTTCATTTTAACGGAAGCCTGAGAGGGAGTTTGAACTCGTCAGGGTTTTGCACCCTGCCAAAACTAGGGTGGGTTTTTTCTCATCTTTTGAACTCTCCCCTTCTGAAACCCTGATCTGGAAGTACAATTCTTACTGCTTTTTTTTAAAAAGGGAATTCTGGTTGAAAAAGATTGTGTTGGGACCCAGTGGGCGAAGAGACTGAAGTTTCCAGGCTACACCTCAGATTCCCAACATTTTTTTATTGCCAGGTATCCAAGCAGCGCCCTGGGAAGGGCACAGGGTGCTGCGATGCCGAGGCGGCCTGACCGCGTAATTGGGATACGGCTCTTGCAGATGAACGTTGTGCTTTGGTCCCCCCCTTGCCTTCCCCGGCCCGTTCCCCAGTTGTGAGAGTTGGAAGTTGTGCTCACCCGTGGCCTGCTCGGGTTGGGCCGGTGCTGCTCTTCAGCAGGGCTGCCGCTGTCCCGCGGCCCCTCTCTGCCATGCGTTTATCCCAAAGCTGCGCTGCCAGGCTTTCCAGCTTCCCCTTGAGACGGGCAAACCACACCTGCGCAGCACTGCTGCCTGGAGCCGTGTTTTGCGTCCTGGGACCAGGCTTGTGCCTGCTGCTGAGCTGCCCAGACGTAGCACCGAGAGTGCTTCCCGGCAGTCACCGAGGCAGGGCACGGACACATCATTCCACGTACATTAATTTTCCCTTGTCACTATTGGATATAATGTTTAACATTACATTGAAAGCACTTTATAGCAAATTATTACAGCACCCCGCTTCAGTTTGCCAGGCCTGCTCCACGCTGAGGGTTGGGCCCTTCCGGAGAGGGCGAGGCGCTGGCTGGGTTTGGGTCCCTCGCGCAGTTATCAGCTGGCTGTGTCACTGGCCACCTCGGGACTACCGCAGCGAGAGCAGGATGAGCGCACTCGGGCTTTGTAGAGCGTGCCAAGGGATGGCAACGTAAACACGGCCAGGCAGCAGGGAGCAGAGCGAGCTGGCAGGCCGGGGCTGCTCTTCACCAGCTGTTCTACCCCGGCCGCCGCCGTACAGAACAACGGCAGCGCGGGGGGTGAGGGGCCTGCTCTCCCCCGGCTGTTCTCCCCCGCCCGCCGCCGTACAGAACAACGGCAGCGCGGTGAGTGAGGGTTTCTTCTTTTCCCCTTCGGGCAGCGTAACCACCGCCGGGCAGAGGCAGGTGTGGCTCAGGGAGCGGTACTAGCACGTGTGCCAGGTCCTGGCCTGCCTGCCTGCCGGAGTAAAGCAGTTGCAGTCCTTAAAATACAAAAAGAGCCAGGACTGAAACCCCAACCTGTGCCTGGAAGTGTTGACAGGCTGTGACAGCCAGGAGAGCGACAGGCGCAGGGTGCTGATGGACACAGCCCGGCCTCCTCCCTGGGAGCAGCTCAGCCTTTCGGGACACCAGGGTAGCGGCGAGCAGAGGGCAGTTATGGGGTAGCCTCCTCCCTGCGCCAGGGCAGAGCAAAGTAACCGAAGAGCGGCTTTCTAAAGGAAATTCCGTCACTACAAACCTCCGATTACCAGACCGGGCAGCATTATGTATGACAGCCTTATAATGCAGATTATTTTGTATACTGACTTTACTTACTGGAACTCCTATAATAAAATGTTACAGGCCACGCTGGTGATGTTTAAAAGCAATTTGCTCTCTTTAATACCCAGAGCAAAACCCAGGCATTCAAAGCCGAATGCAGAACCCCAGCACTGCCATAAAGCCGACCCGTACAGTATTACAATTAGATACATAATCTGAGAAATAGCTTTTTCTTCACTCTGTTCACATAATTAAGATCTATATAGACTGCGTAATTTAAAAATTAGTATTTATTGAGGCAGCTGTTTTTAACAAGCGCAAACAAATACCAAAAAAAATCTCAAATACAAAAGTCTATTAGATAAACAGCAGCAGCGAGAATGGAATTTTATCCCATCCTATTTCTGAGCTATACTGCACCCAGGAGCGCCGAGTTCCGCCAGTCCTTTAGCTGCAATAACTTTGGGGTTGGTGGCTACGCTTTTCGTGGTGTTGTGAGTCTTATAAATTCCAATTAGTCTGTCCGCGATCTCGAACATGTTGTTTCGCAGGGAGATGATGATGAATTGTGCATTTTTGGTTTGCTCCTGAAACAGAAGGTAGGTGTGTTAGCCCACAGTATTTCAAAAAGCTCTGTCCTTGTATGACCTCTGTTTTGAGGTTTTAGGAACGAAGGAATGCATCACTATGAGCAGTGCTGCCATTCCCGAATCCGCAGGTGAGGAGGGCTCAGCGCTCCTGCCGTCCAGCGCCCAGCACGCGCCCAGCTGGGCTGTCAGCACCGAGCACTGCAAGCTCCTGACGCAGCAGCTTCCCCCTTTTCTCTTTTACGTGACCTGGCCACGTGAGTTTGATTAAATAT